TAAGTGAGAATCCTATTTTTAAAAATCAAACAGTCAAATGCAAATTGCAAGAATAGAGACAAACGCTGCTGACAGCTAACAAGAAAAAGGTGCTAGATCCCCAATGGAGTCCTGCAGGGATGGCATATTTTTGTATGCCGGAAACGAGTTAGCATTTTAGTGCTTCCAGTCAAGTCAATGGGCTGAAAAAACGTCTTCGGTTAACACAAGCTCAAGATATTTTCATGTTTTATTCTAAGCCATAAAATACATCAGCAACTTGGGATTTTTTAAGCTTTATGTGTCTTGAAAAAGACAGTTTTGCTCAAACTTTCAGGGAAAATATTTTTTCAATAAAGACTGAAAGAGATGCCAGAAGCTTAATGGTAATGGCGTTGTGTTCATTTGTGAAGATTATCAACTTTTTTTAGGCCACAAAGCTTGTTTTCTACTATAATCCAAAAGCCAATGGAAAATCTTATTGGCTTTTTGTTGAGGGAAGCTGAGTTATGCTAACTTGTTAACTATGCTAACGTTGCATTTGTTGGAATTGTTACAAAAGTAGTGTTTTGATAGCTGCAATGCTGCTTTAAAGGGCATAAATGTAGAGATGTTACTCTATTTTAAGCTGACACTCTATAGAGCTGAAAGCATAGCACACTATCACTTCTTTATTTTGCATCTAGAAATTCAATGATTTTAAAATGCTTTTTAGCAAAGGGGTTGAATTTAGAGATAAATACTAAAACGATCATTGCTAAAAATATCACTGTTTGCCTTACTAATCAACTATTTACCATACTGACCCATTCCTAACATATAGATACAGACGTGTGCATATTAGCGCACGTACACACATGTTGAAATCATTCTGACTCATAGCTGCTAATCATAAAGAGTAAGTCCTTCAACATATACGGTGACACACTGCACCATGTTGACACATGAAATACCACATTGAGACCTTGATGCTTTGAGGGATTTACAGTAACTTTACGTCAGTCAGATGTACAACAAATGCAATACAGGAACTAGCAGCTGCTAGGGTATCTGGTGATCT